AGAGCTGTTTTAACATCCATTTGATGTATTTCTAAATTAAACAACGCTGCTATAGCAATAAGCATGCGAATGGATGTTATTCTTGTCAACCTTAAGGAATTTCCACCGAAACTCCATTTTCATGGAGCACACTTTGGCTTCAATTTCCCATTCACTCGGTAATGGTTTTGAGCAACCAAATATACCACGTGAATCACAACGCGGCATAGAACGCGTTACCACTTTGACCCGAGTAAATCGATACTCGGGGCCCACCTAAAAAATAGACCAAACTTGAGAAAAAATTCTGGTTTTACCCAGAATTTTTCCACCATTTCCAACAATTCTTCCACCCACATCAAACGGCTCCCTCTTCTCATTTCATACAATGCATAAGTCACTAGTAAAACCACTCCGAATCATGCAAAATATCACTCAATCTGTTAAAATCGCATCGATTTGTGTTAATCTGTATCTCTTTATCCACTAATAGCAGTTTAAACTTTAAAATTTATAATTCGCCTTCAAAACTGCTCTCCTCCGCTATAGTTAATACATATATATTTTTTAACCTATAATGAAATATCAAAATAAAAATGAGAGAGAGATTTAAGATGTGAAATTTATTACAAGTTATATATAAAAAATTTAATGTAAAATTAGTTTGTTTATATATATATGAAAAATATTATGTAAATTAGTATTATATATTACGCAAATGTCTGATAACTGGTTAAAATATTTTTCAATATGTCAATTCGTCCAAAACTGTTTAAATTGCAATTTACTAATTTTTTAATCTGCTAATTCACTACTCAATTTATAATTTTACTGTCAAACCATTCCAACCACACCACACCGCACAACACACACCCTAATCCCACTAGTAAATGATACAAAGTGAGCAACGCCTCGTATAAGTTGGGAGGAACTTGAAGAATAGAGATCTATCATAAAAAATGATTACACACTGGCATAGCTTTTCATCAATTTTTTCATTTATTTTAAATTTTTCTTTCATTAAATTTGATGAAAAATATTTTTAATATTTCATTTATTTAAAATTTCATTAAATTCAAATTTGATAAAAGATTTAATAAATTTTTAATCTGATGAAAAATTAATTTTTTCTTAATTTGATGAACATTTGATAAAAGAATTGAAAATAATTTTTCAATTTTTTTTATTAAATTTAAATTTGATGAAAGAAAAAACAAAGTATTAGAGATGCTCTAAAGTGAATATCTATATTATTATTATATTAAGTGAAAGTTGAATTTGGTATACAAATCTTTATTTAATTCTCCTTATACTACTTGTCATTCATTTCTCTATTTAAAATAAAAAAAAGTTGCATAGAAAAATATATAAAATTCAAAATTTTGACTTTAAATTTAAAAACGATAACTCTTAGCTTGTCAACAACACAATTCTGATATTATTTTTTGAAAACTTACATTTTTATATAAAATTTATGCAAAAAAACTTAGCAAGAATGTTGTGGTATTGCGATTGTTGTAAATAAATTTATGTTTATTTTGAAATGAAATTTTTTGTAATAAGTTACATTATTATTATATATAAAAATTACGTATAACTTTTTTGTTTGTACGATATTATTTTTATTTTTATTTATTTGAATTAAAGAGGAGCAACTTCCCTAGCTCCTCATAGTTGGTAGGGGAGCTAGCCTATACGTCACGTGTTAGTTTATGTGAGGATAACAGCAAGCCCCTATGAAACCAAGGAGTCCGGATCCTCTGCCGTGGTTCCCTGCAATTCTTCCCGGCGTGGTACTGAAACGACGTCGTTTTCGTCTTTTTTTTTTTTTTGGTTTTCTTTCTTTCTTCTTTTCTTTTGTCCATTGTCTTCTCTCTCTGAGGTAGGCTGAGAACCCTAACCCATCTGAGGAGCAAAACAGAGATACGAAACAAGAAGGAGGGCGATGGCGGCAAGGCAAGGCGATGCGGTGTGATGCGGCGGCGGAGGTGAGGCGAGGCGAGGCGACGGTAATGGATTTTCAACCTCCTCCTCCTGTATCTCTCCTCCTCCTCAACCTCCTCCTCCTCCTTCTCTCTTTCTCTCTCTCTTTTTTTCCCATCCTTAAGAGAAAACAGATGTGAATCTGCTTGTTTCGGATCTGCTGTATGTTGTTTTTGGTGATAGATCTGATCATTTTTGCTTTCAATTGGGGCTTTGGTTTTTCAATTTTTGTGGCTTGAATGGTGTTGTTTGATAGAATAATTAATCTGGGTCTTTGTTTTGACTATATGATTATGTTATGAAAGCCTTTTGATTGTATGATTATGGAAACCTATTGAAAACCTCAATCGATTTGATTATTAGAAAATAAAATTGTTAAAGTTATTTAGAGTTTTTGTATCTTTAAGAATATGGGTTTGATATACAAGAACTTTTAGCTGGATTCGTCAGTCCAAATGTAAATATAATAGACTTATCAATCAGTACAAGAGATTGAATAATACTTGAACAATCTTGAATTTGATGAGGTAGTTCTTGTGTTCATATGGAGTTCAGTTTTATATTTTTTCTTTGTTACTGATGAATTAAAACTCTCTATCGATTTGATTAATTTTTTATATCAAATTTGTATTTTGTATTTTGATTTTCCTTCTAAGCGCTTCTTGAATTCTGAAGAGAATTCACATTCTGAAGAGAATTCACAGAATTATGTTGTGGAATTCTTTTTTGTTCAAAACTATATCAGATATGTATATATGATTAAGATATTAGGAGAATTTATGTGTTTATATCAGATATTAGGAGAATTTATGTGTGTTTATCAGATATTAGGAGAATTTATGTTGATTTTACACCACTTGGTATCAGATATGTATAGGATTAATATTCAAGTGATCATTTCATTTTCATGACAAACAAAAATGTTTTGCAATGCAGATGATGTATAATTCTTTTGTTGAACTATTTTACATGTGCTGGTTTCAAAATATTGCAGGTATTAAGGTCCCATAAAAATGATGTTCTGTTTATTCAATTTTCACATAATGGGGAATTCTTGACCTCGACATCAAGAGATTGTACTACCATTATATAGAAGGTATTCAATAAATGTACGTATATAATTTGAATTTATGAATCAAATGTTTTGGATAGGAGTGAAACATTATCATTTTCACATATAAATGATATAATGAAATAACCACTATAACTAGTACTATTGTATTATCAAATGCAAATTGGGTAAGACAGTTTCACATCTATGGTTATGGTTGTGTCTATGTTCGTGTTGCTTTGATTTTTGACTTGGTAAGATAGGTTGACCAAGAGACGTTGACATGCCAATATATGTTTTTCTATAGTATACTAAGCAAAGTAATGATTGTCATTGATCATTGAAAATTTTCATTTTTTGACTCGTCTTCACTTCGATCATTGAATACAGGTGCCCAACCAAGGTAATTTGACAGTGGAACATACTCTATGCAGCCATGAAAATCCTGTTTCTTTTCTCTCTATAGTCTTGATGACTCCGTGATAACGACGAAATGGACTATTTGCATATGGATTGCTGCTTCTCATATCAACTACGATTTATCGTCATCAATTCATTTCATGATCAAGCGTTGTCGATGCCGATCTCCGAGCATGTTTCGTTCAATTTATTGATTCTAACTAGTTGAAACAATCTTCTGATGATATTCATGTGAAACGAAGCAATTTTGGAAAATATCATTTTCAAAGTTTTTATTTCTCATTTTTTCTATATCTATTGTAGTAATGGAATTGCAAATTTGAGGATGATTATGTTATATAGATCTAATTAGTCTTTTAGTTTGTCATATATTTTTATGCAATTTTGATTGTGACTGAATGAGATTTGTAGAACAGGGTTTGTTATATATCATTGTTTTATTTCATATCATTCATGAGGAATAAACAACCAAAAGAGAAGTTGGTTGTTTCAAGGTCTACGTCGAAAAAAAATAGAAAAGTTGGTTGTTCCAAAGGACAACATAGTATTTCATTCAATCAAGAACATTTCATTCAATTAAGATGCTCAAACCATTTCATTCAATCAAAATTGCTAAATCATTTCATTCAACTAAGATACACAAACTATTTCATTCAATCAACCAGCATATCATTTTATTCAATCAACATTGTCCTTGCAAATATTAATCTTACATTCATATTAATTTGACTACATTCATTTTGATCCAATTTCATTGTGATCAATCAAGTCACTATTCATGCCAACCAAAGGAGCCACTTCAATAGTCCAACCGCATTTGTTCCTTCAATTTAATTTTCTCAGTTTAATGTTTCCTCATCCTTGTGTTTTCTTTCATCTTTGTCAAATTCTTTGGCCTTTGCTTTATCTTTCTATCTTCATCTTTACCTCTCTCATTTTTCCCCTTCTACATCCAAAATCTGTGAAAGGCAAAATAAGAGCATCAATAAAGGTTCATATTTTTTAATATTGAATGCCAATAGCAGTTGCAATATAGAAGTAGAACACAAACTAGCACACACTAAAAATAAGAAAATCTAGGAGGATTTCAACATATACTGTCCTCAATTAAAATTCCAACAATGACACCGATAACAGCACAAACCACACACAACAATAGGTGCAATTTATAAATTGTTAAACCAATAAGGTCTAGAAATGAAACAAGTTTAGCGTCTAATACACCTAAACCATTCGCAAGCACCTAAAAAATCTTCTCTTCCCCAAAATGCCAAGTGCTATCCTTCACAATGTTCACTAAAATAAAAAGGCATCCAAGATAAGGACTCAATATTTATTCGCCCAAATTAAGCTGTAGAGACAAGTTTCTCCTAACTCCTCTTCCAAACAAGTAAACCAAACCCACCCATGATTGGGAAGAGATCAAAAGCCCCACTTTAATCATACACCCCATGCTCTCTATAGAATTCCCTACTTGTACAAATGCAAAACAAAATGCAGCATTCTAGTCCAACCCTAAACCAACAAAGTCAGCTATTATCAAGATCACTGGCAGTAATAACAAAAACAAAAAAGAACTAACCAGTCATAAAAAATATATATATGCTCTCATCAAATTCCATGAACTCTCTCAAGAATTGCACATTCATAAATAACTTCATCCCTCTATCTTCAAAGCCTCTTGAAAAGAAATGCTACCATAATTGCTAGAAAACAAAAAAAAACCAACATTGGTCCCACAAACAAATTGAGAGCTATTTATCAAGGATTTCATATGGGTATCTTTAGAATCGCATGAATTGAAGAAAATTAACAGTAAAAAAGGTCAAAGATCAAGTGGGCTCACCAATGGAGCTCGAACTCAAAAACCTCTCTGTGCATTCGGCGAAGGATCGACGGTTTGGTCCATCTCTCACATGTACAGTTTCATACACGAATTTCTGGGTAATACCCAGGATCAAAATCAAAGCTAAATTTGCTTCATAGACACTAATTGAGAGCTCTATAAGCTTTAATCTTCATATCTGATCCACATAGAAATTAAAGAACCCCAAAGTCGAAAAGCCAAATAAGACCTTTTTGTTGTTTTCCCTCTTTTATCTCTGCGAATGTAAACAAGAAAACAAATAGAGATTGAGAATCCATTACTGTAGCATCTCCTTGCCGTCGTCGCCCTCCTTTAGTTTCATCTCTCTGTTTTTGCTCCGTCGGGTGGGTTAGAGTTCTCAGCATGCCTCAGAGAGAGAAGACAACGGGGAAAAGAAAAGAAGACAATGAAAAAAAGAAAAAAAAATGACAAAACGACGTCGTTTCGTAACCACGGCAGGAAGCATTGCAGGGAACCACGACAGAAGATCGGAACTCGGTTTGTGACAGTCACAAATTTTTTGTGGGAAAAGAAAAATGTGGCTGGTGAGTAACCAAAAGGACAAAATCAACTGCTGCTGAAATAATTGAAGTCATGATCTTGGTATTCTCCAGTAAGAACAAGATAACAAATTTCAGATTAAAGATTCTCTAAAGTTCCAAAAATTATACTGAAAATTTTGTTTCAAGCAAAGTTATCCCTCCAAATATAACAGAAAAGTGATTTCAGGGGAAAAAAATGAATTACTAACTCATAAAACTTTGAAAATCACTTGCTATCAAATCAATATTTGATTTCTTCCGAAGCAGTAACAGCCAACATTATACGACGGAAATAATCAATATTATGATGCAATCATAAGATGGAAAAACTTCGACAACTAAGCCCATAAACAGAGTGGCCAAACTAAGGCCATACATAAAGACCACTACAAACCTTTACAACTATAAATGGCTTGTCTTGTAAACATAATTGATACAAAAAATCCTTTATATAAACACAAACCTAGGGATAATAATGGAGTCATAGTTGCTTGCACCAAGACTTTCAAGTATAAACCCATAATCACTCTTTTTTTATTATTAAGTAAATAACTAATTAGAGCTGCCAAAGGGACCAAAACCAAGGTACACAGCATAAGAAAGGCATATGTTGAAGGAAATCCAAAAAAGCATCACCCTTCATGTATTATTAACTGTGAAGTTATCAAAAAAAAAATACTTGTCCCTATACACCCCATGAAGCTTGTGTAATTAACTATATTTAGACCCAAATTTATGGTGCATATTGGGGCTTTGGCAAGTAGGAGCATCCACCACCATATCAACTAGGCTCATATACTCCACCTCAACTAGATGCCCCATTCCATTGTAAGTCTCAGAGTTGCATCATAGATCAAGTGGGCTACTGGCATATCGTCCATAAATAACAACCACAGTTTGCAGAATGGAATGGAAAGGCACATATGACCAAGTCACAAAAAAGGTTTCAAATTTTCAATTTCAGCATAATTTTTTCAGAGGCAAAACTAAATATCTAAATGCTGAGTATTTTGAGTACAAAACACAACCAAATTTTAAACATTTCAAAATATGGTTGAAAGTTAAAATGTGAGTTAGTTCTTCATCAAATTGATAAGAGAAGAAAGAAAAAAAATTAAGGAGTTTTTATTTACTTTAACTGTTATGAAATTTCTTGCTGATAGCAAGAATGAATGTTCTGATTAACGTTCAATTTGCAAAGGGAAACAAGAACCCAGCAGACCAAGCAAAAATTAGTTTTACCAACGTGTTAGGTAGCACTCAGTAAGTTCCCAGAAAAACACATAGCAAATATCCTTGACTCTATGTAGATCATAACATGCTAGCAAATTTTATAGCAATAGTGGGTACTTGTTACATATGTCTTGCTGAAAAAATACATAAAACTTCCCATGAAATGCCCAGGAGAGAGCATGAAAATATTGAAACTTATTGTGTTCAATGAAGTTTCATACCTCAGAGGTGAAACAATCTTGTTGTTCGTATCTGAAAAAAAAAAAAAAAAAAGAAGGAGGTGCCAAAACGACGTCGTTTTGGCACCACAGCAGGAACCACTGCAGGAAACCACTGCAGAGGATCTGGACTGGAAACGAAGAGGGTGTTTGCGTATCATTTATAAGTTGACTTTGAGGTAATTAATAATAAATTTTAATAGTTAGACTTGATTTTATGATCAAATTTTATTGAAAATAAATATTAATAAAATTATTGTTAAAAATAAATTTTTTTGATAATTTTTTGTATATATCCCTTAAAATTAATAATTTGTGACTTTTTTTGTCACGATTTTTTAAAATTATCGCTAAACCTTATAATTAGTGATGTTTTTATGTGACATTTTTTAAACTGTCGCTAAAAGTTAAAAATTAGTGATATTTTTTTTAAATTATCACTAAAACTTATAATTAATGACATTTTTGTGATAAAATTTTTAAACTGTCACTAAAAATTAACAATTAGTTATATTTTTTTAATAGTATTTGATGAAAATGTCATTATCTATTAAGACATATACATAAGTCTCTCTTAATTTTTTGTTTATTATGAAAAAATGTGCAAAAAAAATAGACAGGTGATGTGACCCAAATAAACTAATAAATTGATTTTTTTTTTTAGAAACTTGGCTATTTTAGTTAGTTTTTTTTAGTTTTTTTTGACAATTTTATGAGATGAAAAAAAATTATATTTGTAATTATTTGTGAATTTGTTTTTATAATTGAATAGATAGTTGTAATAATGTTTTTATAATTGAATAGATGGTTGTAATAGAAAAAATAATTAATTGATATATAACATATACTATTTAGTCATATTAATTATTTTAATATTTTTTATTTTTATTAGTTATTTTAACCTCAACCCTTATTTCCAAACAGGGCCAAACTGCAAGCAACCGCCCAAAACAATAATCAAATCACAGCCCACCTTTTTTTATTATGAGCCCAAGAAGCCTCTAAAGCCGAAAATCACCCTCCAATCACATTTCAGCTCATGGTCGTCTCCTCCTTGCCAGCGCGCCACGTAACTTAAATTGCATACCCGATACGCACCCATCAAGGTCCATGCGTCACTAACTTACGGGCCGACAAAAGTACACGATGTTAAAGTGAGAAATTATTCGGTGCTCCCGTGCCCACCCACGTCTTCCAAAGCTACACGATCATCATGTGAGATTAGTCTTTAACAGTGTAGGAGACTCTTGAAGGTGGCATCTTTTTTATTTATGGATGCAATTATGATAGAGACTCAACATATATATATATATATATATGACTTTCATAACTCTCACTCTTATCTTAATCATTTATAATGTGGATCTCACACATATATGAATAGATTTTACAATACATCAAGAGCTAAGATTAAATTGGGATTCATGAAATCTCCAAAAAGAGGGTTCCAAACATTTCTGTTATGCATATTGGGATAATGATTTAGAATCACTAATTAATTTTAGAGTATTAATATTCAGATTAAAAAATTAAACTCATATTCTAAAGAGCAATGTTATAGACCACTAATTTGTCATCACTAATCCCACCACTAGTGAGGTGGCAATTGAAAAAAAAAAGAAAAATAAAATAAAACAAGGCACAAAACACATGTGGCAGTGGGTGGGATCCACTGCCACATCATTAGAGCCACCACTAATTAAATTAATGATGTGTTACTCTGTTAAAATACTTAAGTCAATTATCTCTCATTTATACTTTAATCATCAACCAATCGACTTGTTTACATGTCATTATTTTAGAAAGTAAACTTGTTTATCATTTTTTTTTTAATTTTATATGACAAAAAGAAGAAAATAAATAAAAATTAATTTTTAAGATTAAAACTTAATAAAAATGATGTGGATTCACATTTTTTAAATTCGAGTAGTAATTGACGATAATAAATGTTTGAGGTAATTACAAAAATAATTTCAGAATTTGACTCTTTTAACAAAATAAATCATAAATTTTTACTTTTAGCAATTTAAATTTTAATATTTTAATTTATTTTCAATCTAAATTATTTTTCAATTTTCGTTAACTAAATTTGATTTAAAAAAATAGTATTTTAGTTATTAAACTCAATGTAATTATACATAAAAATAAATAAAATATATTTTTTAAATATTATTTTTTCGTTCTTTATGTAGCGAAAATAGACATATAGTTTACATTGAAAATAGATCAAAAGATTAAAATTTAAATTGATAAAATTAAAAATTCAAGGTTTATTTTATTACAATTGTCAAATCTTATTTTTTTTTTAATTATCACTAAATATTTGAAGTTGTAATAAAAATATTACAAAAAATCAAATCATTGTCTCAATATAAAATTTGTACAAAATTTTTAAAAATACTTATGGGTCAATATTCTAATAAATATTGCTTTTAGCACTAAAAACATTAAAAAAAAAATACGATTATATCATAGCATACATTAGTTTTATGTATGTTACGTGAGATTCAACAATACATTAAGGTAAAAGGAAGTTATTTGCAAAATGTGTTGTTTATTATATAGTTTGACTCTAGCAAACTAGCTTGAGTATTATGGTGAGACACCTTGTAATATAATGGTGTCCAAATGGACTTCAAGCATTAGGGAAAACTATGTGTTTTTAGATGCGAATCAAATTCGAATTGTATCTTTCAGAGATGTTTAAGGAGTTAATTCTTTTATGTAAAAATACTTATGGGTCAATATTCTAATAAATATTGCTTTTAGCACTAAAAACATTAAAAAAAAAATACGATTATATCATAGCATACATTAGTTTTATGTATGTTACGTGAGATTCAACAATACATTAAGGTAAAAGGAAGTTATTTGCAAAATGTGTTGTTTATTATATAGTTTGACTCTAGCAAACTAGCTTGAGTATTATAGTGAGACACCTTGTAATATAATGGTGTCCAAATGGACTTCAAGCATTAGGGAAAACTATGTGTTTTTAGTTGCGAATCAAATTCGAATTGTACCTTTCAGAGATGTTTAAGGAGTTAATTCTTTTATGTTTGTCACTTCGCTGACTATGTCCCGGTCAGCTTGGGGGAGTCCAGGGGGCAGCGCCCCTTGGTGGGTTCGGGACAGCGCCCAGGCAGGGTCGAGGGCCAATGCCCCCGAAGCCAGAAGCAAAATTGCAGTCGAAATTGCTTGTTCGCTCGAGCGACTATTTGTGTGCTTGAGCGGAAAATCTTTAGTTCTAGAAGTTTGAACTGTCTGCAAAAGTACTGGAAGTTGTGTTTTTGAGCTGGAGCAGAAC